TAATTCGTCATAACTGCCGATATTGGTCCGATTCTAATCCCAGAATTTATCATGAGGTTCATACACAGCAGCTACAAAAATTAAATGTTTGGGCTGGTATTTTTGGAGATCAATTAGTTGGTCCTTTTTTCTTACCTGGAAATTTCTGGAAATTTGACCGGTGAAATGTATTTGGAATTACTGGAAAACGCCATAGATCCTGCAATAACAGCCATAATTGAAAACCAGAATGATCGGCGGTACATTGCGAATAGGTTGATGTTCCAACAGGATGGTGCCCCACCACATTACGCATTACGTGTTCGACAATATTTAGATCAGACGTTTCCAGATCGATGGATTGGTAGAAGAGATACCATTGAATGGCCCCCAAGATCGCCAGATTTAACACCTTTGGATTTCTTTATGTGGGGTCATTTAAAAAGCAAAATCTATGCTACTCAGCCAACATCATTAGAAGACCTGCGACAAAGAATTGTTAATGAGTGCCTACAAATTACTCCTCAAATATTGCGAAATGTGTGGCAACGTTTTGAGCAAAATCTTTATTATTGCATGGAGAGTCATGGCGGCCATTTTCAACCTTCACTTGCCTAAGGGGTCAGTTCATTCTTCATTTTTAAATTACTTTGCTGCCAATTGTATTGATCTCCACTAATGATGATATATTAGTTTTATTTAAGCTTTAAATCAATAAATCTTCAAAACTACTGAGATGAAGTACATTAATTTTATATCATTATAAAGGGAATTGAAAGACCTTTAAAATAAGGTATCACTCGACCCCCCTTTACATTTAAGATTTTGGGGGTGGTGTCACCCCCGCTTAAGGGACTGCACGTGCTAACGTGATTTTTTGCCAAACTTGTGTCACCGTCGAAAACAAAATCTACGAGTCTGAGCATTTAAAAAAAAAACTGAGCTGTCAATAAATGCGTCTGTTTCGTTTTCGATGCGCCACCCTGTATATGTAAAATTCATGGTAGTTTTTATTTCATTTTCAGGTTATACGTCAAATAAAGCAGACTAGGGTGAGCATGCGAAGTAAACTTAATTTGTAATATTCGATATGTTAAAAAAAAATATTTGAGGGAATGCGTTAATATAATTTTACTTTAATTCTCTAAAGTTACTAGATTTAATCAAAATGGCTGTCGTATTTTAAGAAAAACAAACGGATCCGTAACACATTCTGGATTTTTGTTAATTATTTTATGGAAACCCTATTTTACGATATGGTCAATTCTTCTCAAGATTCTTCTACTTGCGACTTAAGCGATTCCTGTTTCAGTACATTATTTATTGCCAGAATCTAGTTGACGTTCTAATCAAGGAACCGATAGTTAGAATTAAGAAGTACACGTTTTTGTAGCCTTTCTACATGCAATTTCAGATTACAACTAACTATAATGAATATAAGATTTGCTTCCATGAAATATATAGGATTCTGCTATGTGTGTACGATTTCAGTTAGTCATATGGCATTTTTCAATGGATTCAGATACTTGATAATGACTTTTCCGTAATCACCATAATGGATATGGGAATTTAGGTCAGGTGTCTTCTGCAAGCAACGGTGTGTATGAACAACAAAGTTTGCGCGTTTTTAGCGGATTCATTAACTAAAAGGTTCCTAAAATAGTACTAGCGACAACGTATGGATATTACTCGCGTACATAATGGTTTTTGACACTGGAGTAGCCGCGAAGTCAAGGCCTAAGTGAAAAGGTAGAGCACACAAAATTATACGCATCCACAAAGTATCATGATATTAGGCCAGATTTCAAAATAGGTACATTAGAGAATCTACCTGACAGCCCTGGGACACTGTGACATAACAGAGAAAATATTAGACGAGGAAAGTCCATTAGTGAATCGACAGCAGATCCAGATTTACATTACCGACCGCTTGTTGACATGAGGCAAGTCTGTTGACAAGAACTGTTCTAACAAAGAAACATTTTTACGGTAACATGCATTTATATCTATAATATTTGCCAAATTATACCCGCACCTTTCTAAGACATTAAATTAATCACAGTGTTATTATAGAACCAGAAACACTGACCTTCTTACGGTACAGAGTCAACCTACTATATTTTATGAAAAATCGCCGTACTATAATTGTGTGATGGTATTTACAAAATGCTCAAAACCAACGTTGTCCTTCCTCGCTTCATGCTCTTTAACTAGGAATATTGTGATGTAACTTGGTAGACTTGGTAGCTGTATGATGTGATATCATGGTAGTGGTTTTTATTTTAATTTTTACTTTATATTGTGAAATTGTGATTATTCATCCACTCTACATTCTAGTGACGGACACATACGCTACTTGTGACCTTTTTCAAGAATAAATAAATAAATGAATAGATCAGTCAATAAGTAAGTAAATAAATAAATAAATAAATAAATTAATAAATGAATAAATAGATAAATAGATAAATAAATAAATGAAAAAATGAATAAATAAATAAATAAATAAATAAATAGGTAAATAAATAAATAAATAAATAAATAAATAAATAAATAAATAAATAAATAAATAAATAAATAAATAAATAAATAAATAAATAAATAAATAAATAAAATGTCAGCGACCAATAAGGCTGCTCTCATCTGAACTGATCTTTAGACGAATTTCAATTATCCCCAATTGGCCGGCTGTATTAGATATAAGGTTACGTTTTTCGCGCGTGGGTATGTATGAGGAGAAAATAATCTACCTCACAGGCTACGGTCCTAATAGATTTGGATTTTGTGATGTGAGGTACCAATGCCTACCAAAGTCACAGCGTGGTATCAACAAAAACACTCGCACTCATTGAAAATAACACGAAAACTGTGAATTCAATGATATAACTGTCAGACTTATGTTAGCGTACTCTTAGTATGCACATTACGATTAGAATTACAGACAAATCCTTGGATGTCTCCTCCCTAGTCTGAATTTGTTGGTTGGACTTTATGTATTTTATTTTATTCACTGTATATTTTCGTGGGTGTGGGAGAGATCTACGAAAAATATGCTTATACCGGATTATAAGATATGTCTATACATTTGCAGTTGGCATTTTGTCCTAATACTAGTTTTGCAATTCCAAGAATCCGTCTCTTGAATCTTATGTACGCCCTTTATAATGGTGTCATAAGAAAGTCACTCAAAATTTTATGGCATCCCGTCGTAAACCCAAGGGACAGAAATCTATTTCGTTCCCTTGCAAGGAAGAGCCAGTAAAAACATCGATATTTTTTATTTGAGACGGTGGTGGACATGCATCCCTCGAAATATTTGATTTCAAATCACTGAACATGTGATTCGTTACAAATACCTCTCGCAAAGCTATTGGAAAGATAATGTGTTATCGAAATAAGACAGCACTAAGTGACGTCTGTTACCAGAATCGACGGCTGCGAGAGTGAAAACAGCAAGCTGCCAGTTTAATCCAGTTCACAAATTATTCGTTTTTTCTGTGTTCTATGACTACGTCTATCAATTAAGGTATTGAGCTGGGATAGAGTAGAGGTTTTGGATGGATCCGACTTGGGAAACGAAAAATTGTTATTTAGCAGTTGACAGTTTTTCGTAGTTAAAGACTGAATAAAATACTAGAAAAATATTCAACGATTTCATTTTTTCCCCAAGAAATCCTTCAGAAGCTTTTAGCCTCCGAAAATTTGTCAAGCGACGTAAAAATCCCACAAATTCGGGAAAAATCCCTAAATATGACAACACTGCGATACAGCTCCAATAGACAGCTTGCTGTTTTCACTCTCGCAGTGGGCGATTCTGGGTAGTAGATATAGATACATTTATCTCCAAATGGTCTGACTAAAATTCCTCAAACGAGGTAATTTTTGTAACATTCAATACTCAAAAATGCAGTAAATGTTTCAAAAAAGCCAAAGAAGCAGAGGTTAGCCCTATCAATTTCTACGCCAATGATACACCTTGAACAAGAAAATTTTTGTATGTATTGTCCACAGTGTTATTACTGAATGTACAAAATTTTAAGACAGTATCTTAATTCACTCGCAAGGTATAACTTTATTTCAATTTCAAAATTATCACTTCCACATCCGGTAACTCGAAGAGGCAGTATTTTGGAATATGGAGTTTTCATGTTAGATTTTCGCAGAAAAATATATACATGACCTTAATAGGAAATTAAGCTCTTTAAGATAAATGGAAAAAGCCCTAGGAAAAGAATGTTTTCCGTTTATTCAAAATACGATGAAGCATTGTTCTAGGTGGTCTGTAGGAGAGCTGTAGGGTATAAAAAGATCTTTGATATGTTGAATTCTTACATAATACGTTTGCAATTTCGAATCGCAAAAATTATTGAATATCAAATTTAATTCGTAAGGTTAGAAAAGGTTCAGTTTGTTACTATCTTATTTCTTTTGGTCTATTGGTAAGTTCTCCAGCGACAAAACCGCTATTATAAATGGTACTTTCCTGGTCCCGTTTTGAAGATGTCTTCTCCTACTACGCTTCTGTAGAGGACGTGAGCCAGTACCTTAAGTTTGTTTTTTATTACAAACGCCAAAAGGTAGGTTTTGCAACTTTGGCAAGTTATTCAGCAAAACTTTTACGCGGAATGTAATTTTATTGTAAAAATATGAATATTTCGTGGATATATATATATGTGCACAAAAAGTATCCACAAGCTACACTCCAAAAGGCTGGATGGGTTTTGACATACGAGAAAGACTGGATATATTAAAATTTTGTAGAAACACACAAACGGATTCATAACGCAAATTTCAACTTGGAAATTATATCTATTTTACGAGCTTCAGCTCAAACGGCTAAGCAGATTTCTTAATTCGAAGCATATGGCCTTCAGTGTCTCTTCCGACCGAACCAAGTAAAGCTTCCATCCTTCAGCTGCAGTCGGTTGTTTTTTTAGAATTTTTGAAAATGTACTTTCCCTATTTAGTCAGTTGAGGTTGATATAAAATTAGCATAAGCATAAGCATATAACCATAATGATGAGTTATATTTTCTGAAGATCAAGGTCAACTTTGTTATACTTCTGACTATGGCCTATGCTTATGACTATGATGTGATAGGTTATAAGAAACCATTTTTGAGAAATATGAATCTCACTCATATCCTTATGTTTCTTTATAACTGTAAGTAAAATAAAATTGTATCCAAATGTATAAACTCCACATAATGGCGTCATCATCTCCCCTGGCCAAGCAGTACTAGACCAGCAAAAGACGACACCACTCACAAAACCAAATGACATGTCTTTTGGAAACATATCATCATATCATGTCACATCAAAAAAGAAGCATATAACGGAACTCTGCTTTTGCGTCTGAACTTTCATATTCTGTGCGTTTCGTCTTAGTATTTTTATGTTATCTGAGACAAAATAGGCTAACGATTGCAGTACAAGTACAACTTCATGGTTTGCTGACGAACCCGATGCTGAAAAGCGCTGTTCGACAGTTAACTTCTGGTAGTCGACATCGGAAATTCTGGCATTTGGTAATGGTGTCTAAAGTGTATTTGCACCCAAGATAGAATGGATGCGTGATTGCCAAAAGCAAGCACGGCGTACAGGGCCGCATTCAGGGCTACCTCCGAATGATGGATTACCACCAACGTGGTGTAAAACAAAGATGACAGTATTTAACGAAATTATCTAATATAGTGAAGTAGTTACAGTTAAGGGTGTCGCAAAATCAAATTTTTATTCTTGAAGCGGTGCTAAGTTTTTCTACACCCCCAAAGTGGCAAATAATGAGCCTTTTTCCTTTGCCTAGAAAGATAAAATCCGCAGTGCACATGCACGTCTTGTAGGTACGAAGATAGAGAGACATTGTGCGCAAAAAATGATACCGTGAACTACTTCGATCTATTTACCTACTGGATTTTTCAATCCGGTCGACAGCCCATCTAGGAATGCCCTTCTGGATGAAGTCACAGTTTTGTCAACCGATACCTTCGGAGTAGTGTGTTCAGCGTTAATCCAGGTTTCGTCCAGTTAATAGATCTTCCTGTGCTGATCCCTGAATCGTTTAATTTTGGTCAAGTACTCTCTCCTCCACAGAACAATTTCTTTTCTATCCATAAGTAAGCTGTTACGACCTCGTTTCTTCCATTCGAAATTAAGATGCTTCAGAAGTTTATAAATAGTCGAACGTTTGAAATTTGGTAACATAGCATCCTCGTTAACCTCCCGTAGTACTTTATCAACTGTCGGCATTTCGTTTCTGAAGAAGAACTCGTGCACTTTCCTCCGAATCGCATGCTTGTCAGCGTCATCCAACGATCTTATGATACTTTTGCGATTTTTACCCGTCATTGGATTGGAAAAGGCATGCTTTTTCTTATGTTCGTTCAAAACATTTCACACTGTCGCTTGGCATACCCCAATTTTATCTGCCACTTTCAGAGCTATTTTCGGGTTAGTTGATGTTTCGTCTTCCTTCCGCTCTATCTTGAATGTATTCAATATGACGTCTTTCATGTCTACGCTAAGATGCCTTTTTCTTGATCGCTTTCTAAGAGGGCTAAGGGAGTAGCCTACAGCCTCGTCAGCAGTTCCTGTACTGGACATGTTCAGGATTGGTTCAAAACAAATAATAACGAGGAATAACAATAACAAACAGAAACTTAACAAATTACTCAAATACACTTAACAACAACAACAGCAACAACCAAGCAAGGTGAATACGAAAACACGAGCAAGCAGTGATACACGCGACGGTCGGCGGCTTGAATGCAACTCTGCCTGCACAGCCCCTGCCCCGCGCATTATTCCGCCAGGCGACCGCTTGAAATTTAATGGCGAATTGACCAATAAGAGGCGTTGTCCCCACCTGTTACCGAGAGATCACGCGCTAACTCTCATTATTTACATCTCATCTTGAATTTGGATTCAGTTTAGATGTTTAATGTTCGCACAGCTGTCATCAACCTGTCAGTAATCGTGTCCAAGATCCCGCTAAACAAATGCCGTTCGTTCTGCTATTGTATTTATACAGAATTCACACGCCCGGATCCCAGACACAGTCGCCAACAAGTCACCGAGCATGGGTTTCCAAACCCTTATCCACTTGCATTGGAAGAAAGACAAACTCCAATGATAGCATTGTCCGATCAAAATAGCGCTATCTACGTCTACCTTCCCAGCCCCCCACCACGCTGTACAGTTTACATGATTAATGATATTTTTTTCAAGTATTATAAATGGGGATATATTAACATATCAACTATTTTACGGACTAGTAAAGACGCGTTAAGCCATTATCAAAATAGAACGGAGTAAATGATATTTCAGTCTAACAGCCACAATTTATAGTTTCCCGTCTCGCACTTAAAGCATAGCAATCGCATATCTAATATCATTTCGTCTTTTGTTAGTAGCCAAGACGGATATTTTGTAAAACCGGAGCGACACTTTAAACATGCTGATCCAGTTCCCAGCAAGGTCTCATAAATAAACTTTTATGATAACGCTGGTTTGAAGTAAATAACGGAAAAGTGAAAGGAAAGTCTGGTTATGTTGTTCTCGTTGCTCATTCCAAAAATTCGAGGTCTGCGTGGTAAACGGTTAGATCATTTTTCTAGAAGCAGTGGACAATTCCTATTCGACAAGTGTATGAAAACTTGCAATGTTGGACCACTGACAGGCCTGTAACGCGGATATTTCGCTCAAGTATAATAAACTGGAGACGTGGTTGAAAAGTACCCATTTTTTCGATTAGCCAAACTATTTGTATAACTACATCAAATACAGTTCTAGATCTGTTTCTGAAAATGTTAACTTACATATTCTATAACTTAACCTTGGAGTTACTGTTTCAATGAATTTGCAAATAGATTAATTTGTTGTCGAACATATCTTAGTTGAATAGATTAGTTGAAGCGATTTGGTTGCTAACCATATCCTCTACAGTACATTATGTGGGCCGAACATATACAGTATGTTACAACAATTACTACACAGCTAAAGCGTCATAAGAAGTAGGAAAAGTTGCGCTCATTGACACGCCTGAGTATCGTCCTAATAAGGTGGTTGATATCTTTCTAATATGTCTGAGAACATGTTTAAATTGACCCAGACGGGTACCTAGGACGCATTTGTTTTCACTTTTTTCGTGTTTATTGATACAATGACCAGTGGCGGCTCGTGGCAAAATAAAACAGGTGTTCTGCAAATCCGAACTTATCTACAGGGTGGTCCATAAGTCCTTTGAAATTTCAAATTAGAATAAAATTTAACGGGTGAGCGTGAGCGGCGCGGGCGAGGTGGGGGCAGTATCTTCAGTGTCTGGGAATTCAGTCGCCATGGAGTGTTTCACTGGAGCGGATCGTGCTTTTTGTGTGCGCGCGATTTATCAAAATAATGATTCGGCAACCATTGCGCGGCGTAAATATCGAGAATACCACAATTTACACAATTTTACAAAGTGTCCAACAGCTCAAACGATTAAGAACTGGGTTGCTAAGTTCGAAGAGACTGGTTCGACGTTAGATAAACAGCGGTGGGGTCGACCAAGGACAACTCGTATTGAAGAAAACATCAACATTGTGGCACAGTCTGTTCGTCAAAATCCTACCCAGTCTACTCGTAAGCGTTCCAGTGCACTAAACGTACCCAGAACATCTTTACAGGAAAGACTTACGTCTGTACGCTTACAAAATTCAGTTAGTGCAGGAATTAAATGATAATGACGCTATTCAGAGACTAGACTTTGCGAATGAAATGTTGAATCGATTTTCTTCGCTCAATAATGTGTTGTTCTCGGACGAGGCTCACTTCCATTTAAACGGGCATGTAAATAAACAAAACTGCCGTTATTGGAGCCCCGAAAATCCAAGGCGTAAGCATCAGAAGCCCTTATACAGCCCTAAAGTTACAGTTTGGGCTGCTATGTCAGCGCATGGCATCGTAGGCCCTTATTTTTTTGAGGACGACAGAGGTCGCGCATTAACTGTTACTTCGGAGCGGTATGTAGCAATGATAGAAGAGTTTTTGACACCAGCGTTGCATAATTTTCCAGGCTATAATACGCAGACCTGGTTTCAACACGTCGGAGCAACTGCCCACACCTCCAACACTTCTATGCCCGTCGTCTGTCAACTTTTTCCCAGCAAAGTAATTTCTCGGAGAGGAGACATTTCCTGGCCACCACGTAGACCAGATTTGACCCCAATGGACTTCTTTTTATGGGGCTACCTCAAGAGTAAAGTGTACGACACCACTCCGCGATCAGTTGATGTCCTGAAAGAAAATATCCGAAGAGAAATGGCAAGCATTACAGTGTTGACTTGCCGCGCAGTCATCGACAATTTTAGACGTCGTTTATATGAGTGCCGTGATCGTAAGATAGATAGATAGATAGATAGTTTATTGTCCTATTAGATCATGTTACATGATATAAGACTTGTCAATATCAATTTGAGGGTCATATATGCGTTTGAGCAAATCTGCCAGAAAAATACTTATAATTATAAAATAAATAAGGACATTACAATTACAAAACATTTTAAAAGGTTAAATCACATTATAGGTACAGGTACAGTGCAAGAATCGTAATGTGTAAAATATATACATATACAGCGACTTTTTTTTTCTCACAAAAAATGTTCGTCTAGCCGGTAAAAGTCATTGATGCTGACACAAAGAAAAGAAAAGCGGTAGGAGAATCTGTTGAAATACATAATATATAAACACAATAAACATCGAGCAGTGAGGACAAATGGTTAAAAGCTTAAAAAGAAAACATATATACTTTCGTTAAAACTCGAATAAAAAGTGAAATTAAAATACAATGGATTGCATTTAGACGATGTGATTTTTAAAACATAATTCCCATTCAATAAAGATGATAACAAAATATAATAATTCTTCATAATGTAACTAGTTTGGTTTTATTCCTTTTTTTCCAGCTCAAAGGACTTATGGGCCACCCTGTATTTTTTATACGTCAGTTCGATCCTGCGCTGCTTCTTGGAAGCAAATTTGTCGATCACCTTCCCGTTGAAACAAATTCCTTTTCAATGGACAGCATCGACAACGCTGTAAGGCGATCCTGGATCAGTCTTGATTCTTCTCAATGTTGAGAAATTCCGCTCAGCCTCTGATATTGACATAGGAGTTGAAACAATAA